TTCTGTAGGAGTGGGGGAAAACAATGCTTTTTCTCCAATAATGCCAGGGAAAGCAAGAAGAGCAGAGCTCCACGTTTCAGCTCCTGGGTGACCAATCCCATGTGCTCACACTGCCTCCAGGGCCCATGGAAACCCTGCATGGGAGCCAAGGAGAGGAGCACAAACCACCAGGGGAGAAAGTTTTGCCAGGAGGCAGCACCCCCTGCACTGCTCCTGACCCGGGATCCCCCCAGGGTGGATGGTCTCTGCAGCCAGAGACCCAGCTGGGCTGGGAATTTACCACCACGCCAGAGAGCTGTGCAGTTGCACCCCAGCCAATTTCAGCCTTGCAAACACTTTGCCTGTCCCCAGCACATTCATCCTCCTCAGGAAGCATTTGACTGGCATTCAGGCACAGCCCCTTCTGAACAATCCAACAAGCTCTGATTTATGTGACGCCTTTGTCTTCAGACACTGTTGTCAGCAATACCCACCCTCAGGCCAAGCCGCCGACGCCTGCAGATTTCCAAAGGTCACTAACACGGACATGCTGCCCTTGCTGAAAGATAACAAACAGAAGCTTTAATAAAAGTAGAAATGATAATTTATTAATTTTGTCCTGTAGCAACGTTCAGCCCCCTCCCCAGAAACCAGAGGCCCCAGGGGAAACACTTCCAGGACAGAAGAGAAAAGAAATTGATATGGTCCTGGGCTTCTCCTATAGCTGGAGAAAATAAGTGATGTTTTCACAGCAGCTACTCACAAACTGTCAGAGGGTTCAATATCTTCCATGCACCCAGAGCAACAAAATAGCTTTCTCAGCATTAATGGGAAAGAATCCAAGACAAAAATCACTATGGACCAAATTATGGTTGGTTTTTTTCTGCAGGAAAAATCAGTGTTTGAGGAGTATCCCCTGGATACAAGAGCAGCTGACGACTGCACACAGGCCAGCTCTCACCTTGCTGATGCAAAACGGCTTCATCTGTCTCCTATGCCTGAATGGATCCAGCTGCACCATCCCCCTTCCCTCCCAGCAACTTGCAGAGAGATCTCCCCATGGGCTCCTGTGTGCACAGATGGCCTCCTCCCCTCCATGGGCACACTGCTGCATGGGGCTTGCTCTTCTCCACTGTCTGCACCAACTGCTTCCAAACCCATCTCAAATACCAAAGGCACAGTCCTGGGTTCACCTGCAAGCTCCAGGCCTGCCAAACCCAGCAGTTAACACAGCTTTAGGGATTTTTAGCCTTCAAATCCAACACAAGCAGCTTTTTGGACCCGAGAGAGCTTTGAGCATCTTGGGAACTTTCTTTTGTGACACCCACGGCCTTCCCATTTGCATCAGCCTTTCTCCAACCTCCACCGGTGCCACCCATCACAAGGCTGCAGCAAAGCCCCTACCTGCCTTGTTGACCATCCTGAGCACTGAGCACTCTCCTGCAGGTCCCCAAAAGATGCTTTCCCTTCACATATCCCAAGGAAGGTCCCCACAACCTCCACCAAGGGACTGAGGTTCAGGGATGCCACCAGCACAGGGCCGCAGTGCAGGTCATGGCTGCACAGCCATTCCTCAGTGGCAGGGCTTTGGACACTGTTGGGATGGGGCCAAGAGGTCACCCCTCACCTGCACTTACCAGCAGACAAGCCCATACAGCCCCAGCACCCCCAGTAAGCATGAACTTGTGCCAAGTGTCACAACATCTCCCTGTTATCGCCCCAAATACCAGGCGCCGGATTGCTCCTTTAGCCCATTCTCTCTCTCAGGTTCAGAATAAGGCTGGAAAACGTGAACCACCCCAAATGAGCCTGTTGGAAATGCCATTATTTTGAAGAGGCTTAAGAATCATTTGAGGTTTCTAAGCTGTGATTCATGATCATCTGGGTCTGGGGTTTGATCTTTAAGGGCTTTTGCTGGTGACACTGTTGCAATTTCCCCAGGGCACTGGTGGCTTTTCTCTGTACACCAAGTCTTCACAAAAAGCAAATTCCAGCTCTGGTACAACAAGTGCTCCTCCAGCCTGTCGTGGATGGGTCATAACAGGGAAGTAGGTAGGCTCCCAAATTTTTCATTCCCTAACAATGCAATTTTTTATTCCTTTGCAACACTTTACTATTCAAAAAAATGTAACTTGAAAGTGCTCAGATTTGTCCAAAAGATGATGCAGACATTCATCCTGCAGAAGGAGAATCGCCTCTTCCTGTCGTTCCACCTTTGGTTCAGCTTACCTCCTTACCCACCGCACCTTCCCCGCGTTCCTTGTATGGCAACGGTTTCTCCTCCAAGTGCCTTCCAAAAGCCAGGAGAAGACACCATCAGCAATCACAGAGTGTATGGTGGCAATCACCCAACAAGGTGGCCAAGGCGTCCCATGCCAGCACCTGCTTTGGGGTCCGCCTGTCCTCTCCACTTCTCCGCAGTGGGCGCCGTGCTCAGCAAGTCACACAGCACGGCTGGCAGAGCCGCCTGACTCATTTTTCTCTACTCCTCCAGCTGATGTGTTTGGAGGAACACGCTGCTCTGACAAGGTGACACATCCTGAGAAAGCCCACACTGCTGAAGACATCTTCCTGCTCCTTCTACCAGGAGCACCCAGTGCAATAGCAGTTCGCAGCTCTTTTTCATTCCTCCCCAGTCAAATAAGCCCCAAGCATTTCTGTTTGATTTTCCTGAAAGATATAGAATAGATGTCAATCAGGGGAGAGGAGCCTTGAAATCCCACGTTTTTGAAGGCATCTCATAAACACACAGGTGCCAGTAGAGGCACTGGGAAAGGAAGGGCAAGTGCTAACGAAGACTGCATTAAAAACCCAGCGTGACTGCTGTTCGGCTGCAGCAGCACTAGCAGCCTATGTTGGATTCTTCTTTTGGCAGAGGCAATTGCCCTTGAATCAGTTGCTTTGGCTGAACTCGTTGTGGAATTGTTAAATTCAGTCCACTGTATTGCATAATGTGGAGTTTCTTCAACCTGCTTCAGTAGTAACATATTTAATCTCATACAGCTCTGGGAGGGGTTACGAACATGAAATTAAGTAAGCACAAATCTGTCAGGAGCCTAAGCAATAAGAGGATGAAGAGAGAAGTGTCCAGGGACAGGGTGAGATTGGCAGCATGTCTCTGCTTTGATGCCTCTGACTTGTGGAGGAAGGAAAGGAGAAAACAGTGGCATTACACACATTTGAAACGTCCCAGGAGACAACCCAGTTTCCCATCTGCAGAGCAGCTCTCATAAACATTGAGGATTTACCCATCAAACTCAAGTTTGGAAATGTGCCTGGATGTTTCCAAGGAATCTGAGGAAAGATGTTTCTGTTTCTGGACAATCAAAACTATCACATTTCCTGGGTACAGCAAGGATCTCTAAACTGAAAAATGTGCAAATGTGTTTTACCAGGAATGGGCACATCCCAAACAAAGGTAATCAGAGAAACTCTTTTCAGCACTGTTCTATTTACATGTGTTACAGATTGAAGAGGAGAATCTTTTCCCCAGCTGCCCTGGTGTATAACCGTAAATGCCCTTGGTAAGTCCCCTTCCAGCTTTGGGAAGTGAAACCAAAGCACCTATTGGCACCTATTGGCTTTACTTACACTGTGAACCCGGCAGGTGTGTTGGAGCAGCAACACGGGACAGTTTGGATTGAGATGAACCTTTTTCAGGTATAAAAAAACATCATACCTCCCTCCCTTGCTCCTCAGATGGCAATAACACCATGTGAATCCTTGTCCCAGGCATGCTAAAGGACTGGTGCTTGCTCACAGAGGTCCACCAACACCCAGCACCACTATTCACAGCTGGTGAGCTGGTCACACCCAGAGCCGGCTTTACTCTCTGAGTTAACAAAATAACAGATGCCATTAAAAGCAGTTCTTTCAGCCTCGTGTTGCAGGTCGCCTCAGGGAGCGCAGAGGGAAGCCCAGATGAGAGCAGGGAAAATCTCCATCACCACTGAAGCAAACTCACAAGGAATGCTCCTGGCAGGGGAAAGTGTCCTCCAGAGGCACGTTCAGACTGGGGTCTCCCTTGGACAGTGGAGCAGCTGCAGACTGAGCTGAGATTTCTGTCTCACAAACAGCTCCTTGAATTGCTCTTGGCATTGACTTTTTCCTGTTCAGCTAATTAAAAATCTGTCTTTGAGTCATAAGCCCCCATTAGTAATAATTTGCTTTGCACTTCTCCAGTGATTTATGGCTGAGATATCAAAGTGCTTTAGAAACATTAATTAATCCTTCTAATACCCAAGGGACTGATCCACTCTCCGCAATGCACCATTGGTGGAGTAAATGTAGGAAATCCCCAGAGTTTACTCCAAACTGCAGGCAGGGAGAGGGGAAGGGAGCAGCATCCAGCCCAATGAGCTCGTTTCGGCTGCCTGCCTGCAATCAGAGAGATGTGCAGTCAAAATAACAGCACTGAATATGCAGCCATAAGCAAACCCAAAGCACATCCAAGCTCTCTGCTCTCTGGCAGGTGCTGTCCCTATCTGTCCGGGGTGGGAAGGGGAGCTGCAACACCCCAGCTCTGCTCTGCAGATCATGCCGGGAAAGGCATGTGTGGATCAAAGCCATCTTCACCCAGAGCCCTGCAAGTGGCAGTGACACTAATCAAAGCCACCCTGCTCATGCTAACACAGGTATTTCCCTTGCCGTCCTGCCCATTTCTCCAACCTGCTTCTTGTACAAAGTCACTTTTTCCCGGCTTGCAGTGCAGACCCAAGGCTGTCTCCTGCACCTGAGATGTGGCTCCAGTTCTTGCCAGTGATAAGGTCTGTTACCTCCATTGGCTTCGGAGAGGCTTTCATCCTTGCTCACACCAATGAGCCTTTTGCCACCTGGTGTTGTCCCCGGGCTGTGAATGTTGTCATCACAAGACTGCGGGGTGGAGCTGGCCATGCAGGGTGGTGCCAGCAATGGGGAAAGGTATAAAGGTCCCAGCATAGACTGCCAGAGACAAGACCTCTGAAAGCCTGAGAAGTCTCCTGTTTCCTCTTTGCTGTCTCCAGTAAAGTATCACCTTGACCATGAAGGCAACTGGTGTTTTCCTGCTCCTCTCCCTGGCACTCTGCTGCTACCGAGGTGAGTGCAACATATTGCTTAGGAGCCATTCCCTCTCCTTGCTAAAGCTCCCAGGTCTGCCGGGTGGGAAGGTGAGCCTGGGAACAGGCCAGCTGAGGCTGGGACCTTACTCCGGCCCTGGGCAGGGAAAGCGAGCAATCCTCAGAGAGCACTTTAATGGCTAATGTGCATTAAACCAGTGGTCTGTGGTCAAGCCTAAAGGAAAGGCTTTAAGAGGGTGCCTGGTACCTACTCCCAAAAATGAACAGACCTGCTGGTCTGACGCTCTCCCTTCAGGGCTGGAATTTGTCCCGGAGCTGATCATTTCTAGGACACTGCAATTCTTTTAGAGTGAATAGGTGCTGTTCTGGTTTTAAAAAAGCAAACCCAGGAAGACAGGAAGCGCATCTATGCAAGGGAAAATGCAGCTCTCGCAACCAAAGTCAATGTTTAAGCCAACTGTGTTTTCAAAATCCCATATGGTGCAGAGGGATGAGAACATGAGCTGCTGCTGCTGCTCTTCAGGTCCTGCTCACCAGGGATTTCTGCATTCGTGGGTTCATTCAGAACAGGAGGGTGCTTCTGAAACAAGTCCTCCGTTATCCTGTTCACTGTGCAGTGGTTGCCATTGCAGAGCTTTCTGAGCGCAATTCTGGACTCATTTCAGCTGAACTGAGCATGTAGTGAGCTACATCTCCTGGGTCTGGACCAGTGCTAGTCCAAAGTAAAATCCCTGACACCCTAAACAGGGTGGCTATCAGGTCCACATCACCAAACCGTTTCACTCCAGAGATCCACTGCTATTGGTTCTTAATGTAGATGTAGCCTAAATCCTCCATTTAGATGACTTCTGGATCTATAAGCACCCAAGGTTGTCTTCTCAGTACTGCCTTTTGCTGAACAAATTCAGGTTGTTTTTCAAAATACACCCATTGCATGTTCCACTCGTGATCCCAGCTGTCAGTTCCAGGCCAGCTTCTCCACGGAGAAGACCACCAAAGTCATGGCTTGCTCCCACCAGCTTTGGTGTGAGACCTCAAGGTCCACCCATTTCTCCTTCTGGTAGAAACCTTCAGCAAGTTGTCTTTTTCACCGCTTTCTTGCGGTACAAACCCACTGACACCAGAAAAATCACCCTGGATTTACTCTAGCACCGGTCCAGCATCAGCAGGAGTTTCTCAGTTACCTATGAGCATGTGATAAGAGACAACAAAAGCCACCTTTGCTCACTGGCAGCTGGCAGGGAAACTCACTAGAAGGGCACGTGGCCTTGACAGGGCCTTGTACCATCACAGTGTTTCTGCCAGGGGAAAGAGGCAGATGCAGTGGGAAGGGACCCGGCTGCAAAATGGGGGAGATCCAAGGGAAGAAATTGTTTGCTGGGGCAAAAGGTTGGAGTGAAGACACGCAGTCCTCAGGCTAAAGCATCTTTAGTAGGTCTCCCTTGAAACCAGCCCGAACGATGGGTGCTAAGGCGTCTTCTCTCTCTCCCCACTCTTTCTCTAGGAAACGCTGAGACAGATGGAGCTGCTGGCAAAGGAACAGAGGTGAAAGCTCCTATTTTTGTGTAGCACAAGGGTGTCCCCAGCTTCGGTGAGACAGCACTAACCCATACACTGGGGAGCCAGAGTTGCTAAATACAGGGAAGTACAGTGAGCTGCTGGGTTGGCAGCCCAAAGATGCCAGTGACTGGGAACCTCCTTCCACCTGCTGTGCCACAGCAAAATCCCAGTGATGGTACTGGTTTCCCACTGCATTTCCCCACGCTCAGTGGAGGAAAACTGTTAATAAAGAGCTGAATATTGCTGTTACCTGCCAAGAATATCAGAGCTCCCCTTACTCTTTAGCTTGCAAGTGCAAGGGCAGGTATCACTGTGGCATAAAAATAAGAACTGGGAAGAATGTGATCAGACCCTGTCCATGGAGCCTTACTCAATATTGTCATTCGTAAGGGTGTGCAGGAGTGAAGTTCAGCTGGCCAAGGCACAGCATGGTGACAGGCAGCCCCAGTGCTTCTGAGAGTTCACAGCAGAGTTGTGAGCAAGCTGGGATGGGTTTTCAAGATGTACAAAATACTCACCTCCCTGTGAACGCAAAGCTCCTTTGGTAAACTGAAAGCATGCTTAATATTTTCAAAATTACCTTTTTGCATCTCCAGGCAGCTTGTAGCAACTATGACCTAGGAAAAGGTTGTACAAAGATCTTTGACCCCGTCTGTGGCACGGACAACCTCCTATATGGCAATGAGTGTCTGCTGTGCTTTCAGAACCTGTGAGTATCTGGACCTCCTGCAAGTCTTAAATATCATGCAGATGAGGGCTACTACATATGCCTGGGATTTCCTAGAAAGCAAGCTGTTTGCATGCAGCTGGGTGGAGAGTGGGCAGCAAGCCCGGCACATCTGGCATGAATCTGGCCTCCCGCGCAGATGCAGCACCTGCTGCTGCGAGCACGTGGACGCTGCCTGCAAAATGGGTCCCCTGTGTGCAGCTTGCGGCACACGAGCTGCCCACAAGCAGGGACCGCATGGCCAAAATCTCCCCACACCTGCAGCTGCCAAGCTGCAGTGATTGATCAGACTGTGCTGGCAAGCTGTCCGGGAACGCAGACAAATGGCAAAGTCTTCGAAGTCTGCCCAGATTTAGCATGCAGGCAGAAAAGTATTTTTCCAGGTGACCTCAGATGTGTGGTAGCTGAGGAAAAACTATGTTTTTTCACCCCAGCAATTTATAGCTGAGCTCTGCTTTCTGTCTTCTCTGCATATGAAGGGATACAATTTGCTGCGAGTATTTTTAAGGATGAGCCTTATATTTAATCTGTGCTGGTGCCAGATTGCACTGTCTTAGCAGTAGGCCAGGTCCAAATGCTAACGACATCTCTGGCAAGGCTTGATTCATTTCATCTGGCTTGGGCCCTAGATAATTTTGAATATATTTATACATTGGAAGTACTCTGTGTCAGACAAGTGAAGGAATTGCTTCCAACTCAATGCTATTAGGTGGTTCAAAAACCTCTGTTGGGAAGGTTGAGTCTTATCTGTAGCCAGATGCCCCAGTCTCTGGGGCTAAGGGACTTTCACCCTTGACTTTACCTGTTGGAGTCAGGGATTTTTGGTGCTCAGGCTCACACTCCCATCTGCCATCAGCAGAGACATCTCTAATGGAGCTCAGATTCCAGCTTTCCTATCTATCCCTAAATGAATGGGCTTGTGGAGCCAAATTCTGCTTTTAGGAGCATTGCCTCCCAGCTAACTCTGCAGTAACAAACAGAGTCCAGATCCCCAGGAAAAAGAGCCTGGATAAGAATTGTTGGTCTGGTTTTCCCTTCTTTCCTTCATTAACCCAGGCTGCTGCCCCATATTCTGCTCCTGGCCTGCTCAAATGCTGGTTTTACATTTTAAGGCTGAAGACGATGCAGTCAGGCAGAGACAGGCTGGGTGGGATCTCCTGAACGAAGGCGCCATGGTTAATGACCCGGCGTGGCATGGCAGGGCAGTAATGACCATGCTGAAAGCCAGCAGCCCAGCACCAGCTGTCAGCTGTATTGTGCAACAGATGGGGGTGGGAGGTTCTTCAGACACAACATCGTTAGGGCTTTGGCCATGCACCAAGAGCGGGGTAAAGAGAGTGAGGAAGGCTTCAAAGCCAGCTACGCAGGGAGCAAAGTGGCATCGAGGATGCTATGTCCCCCTGGCACAGAACACTGCTTCGGCGGGATGGGAGACCTCAGTGGTCACAAGAAAGGAAGTGGTACAAAAAAGAAAAAGACTGAGCCGGTGGTGTATCCAGAGCCAGACGGGAGTCAGGGGAGGGAAGGGATGGATGAGAAGCTGGTGCTGGCACTCGCCTTGCGTTGACAGGCACTGTGTCCCTGGACTTCTTCAAACTCCCATTCGTGCAAGCTCTCAGTAGCTGCAACTGGAAATGTGCTGCTCCTGCAGGTCAAAGCCCAGAGCCTTGCAGCTTCCCTGTAACATTCCCAAATGAAGAAGTTTTGGGGATAGGAACAACAGCCATTTGGTCTCCCTGTCAGGGCAATCTGGGCCAGGCACCAGGACTTTGAAGCTGCCTGATGCCAAATGCCTCGGGAGAAAGATAAACGGAGCGCCCTCATCTATCAGGCTTCGGTCCATGGGGAAAAGTCAGGTAGCCAAGAGGCAGGATGAAGTGTCATTTGCAGTTTTGTGTGTGCAACTGGTCTGACAGGAGCTGGAGGCCTGCAAGGAGTCTGGGAATAACTACAGCAAGAGCATCTGGCACATCCCTGTGGCAGCAGTGTCTCAGTTGTTGCCTTTGGTCACTTCACTGTGACCAGCATGCAAAATGTTTTTTGCAAAATGCAAAACAGCTTAAAAATCATTTTACCAGCATTTCTCTATGCACCTGAGAAATGGGTTTGCCTTTCCAAAGAGGAGACCATCACGATTCCACATGAAAATGGAACAATTCAGAGTAATTAGGTCCACCACTGGGCAAAAAATAATAACAATATTTTTTTGCAGGTGCCTTTTTAATATTTTTCTCACTTTTGCTGCAAAGCAATCAGGAGGGGAGGCTGGGAGCAGACCCAAGCCCAAGCAAGGCACAATGGCAGGCATTTGTCTGTAAAAACCCAGAAAACAAAGTCATAACCTTTATCGTCTGCAGCCAGACAGGCATTAGAGGTGTCTTAGTGTTGTCCTACAGCACAGAGGTGAATTATTCTGCCAAGAGGTGTCAGGAAGTGCCAGCTCTTGTGCTTATTGGAATTAATTAACACATGTCCATGGTAACCCTGAACTCCCTGTCAAGAATATGTGGCCTTACTTACTGTGAATAACACTTAAATGATGATCTAAGCAGCATTTTCCTTTCTTTCTTTCTTTGTCCTCTGAGCCAGGATCTTCTGTGTATCAGGGACCTGAAGGCATCCTCTAGCATTTTTAACCTCTCTTCCAGGCAAAGAAACACTAACGTGCGCATAAAGAACAGGGGAATGTGCCAAAAGCCCTCTCCACGCTCCAGCTCCGTTCAAAACTAAAAGGCGCAACCACTCCAGAGAAGACAGCACAAAGCTGTCCCTCACCTATACAAACTCCTAATAAAATGGAAGCATTGACATGCCTTGCACTGAGATTTCTTACGCACACCTCAGACCCCCTTCCCTGACATTTAAAAAAACCTTCCTGAAAAATACAGTAGGTTTTGGTAATGTTCATAAAGAGCTGGAAGCAAATTACTGCCCAAGCTGCAGGGACAAGGCAAGGGCATGCCCAAGGAGAGAGCCAGGCTCTGGAAAAACAAGGAGACTCTTTCTTGCATCAATAATTTCATTGCCCTTCCCTAAACTTCCAGCATCCAAGCAATAGGAGATTTTAGCATCCTCATTGCTTGCAATTACAGTTGTTAAATACAGGGCATTGAAGCGCTTACTCCAGGGCCTTTGCCAGGAGGAAGAGTCCAACAAGTCCTCTCCATGCTGACCTGTCTCCCGCCTCGTCCATACGCCAGTGCCCCATCACACGGTCCCTGCGCACCGAGAGCCGCCAGCCTCAGACTTGCCCTGCAGCTCACAGCTACCCAGTGCCTGGGAAAACTAAAAAAAGGCACCGTTTTTCCAGGCAAAAATCTTTTGTTTCCTCTAGCGGCCTTGGGGAGCTTTGCTGCCGGCAGCCGCTCCCGGGCCGCGGGCGGGCGG